GCCCGGCCACCTCCTGCACCCGGAGTACCTGCAGCCGCTGTCCTCCACTCCCGTCAGCCCCATCGAGGTCAGTCTCCCCCGCGCTGCGCGCCCAGGCCGGCCCCATTCCTCCCTCCCCTGCCGGCCGTGGCCCAGCTCCCTGCGCCCCGGGGCTGGGTGCGACGCCCGAGGCTGGCCACGCTGGCGGAATGAGTGAGAGGGGACCCCAAGCGGGGATCAGAGGCCACCAGGTTGTCCCCAGCCTTCCCGGGGAGAGGGTCCCCAACACGCTCGCCCTCCGGAGTGGCGTGTTTTGTCTCCGATTGGATTTGTTCTCAGAGTCCCCGCTGGGCCCTTTACTTTTCCTCTGGCACCCAGTTTCCACGCCAGAGGGGGTGTCCCCCGGGCCTCCCCGCGCCCTACTCCGGCGATTCTCTTTGAGGCCCTGGCCCCCCCGGGTCCCACTCGGCCTCCGTCCTGTCTGCCCAGACACTCCCGACCCCGGGCCTTCCTGCCGCCTACTCCCCTGGGTGCCCTCCCGGGAGGGTCCCTAAGCGCCCGCTGCCGCCTCTCCTGAAGAATGCGCTTGTCCCCGTCCTACCCCGCGGCGCCCTCATCAGAAACCCGTCCCAAGCGAAGTTTCCCCCAAACTAAAGGAGTAAGTTTTTCCCTGGGCCTAGACAAGGGGGAGATTAGAGAGAAAGGGGCGGCTCCCAGCCGGACCCCGGAGAAGTCGCCCTCTCGCGCGCAGGCCCTGGGTGAACCCGCGCCCCTGCCCGAGGCCTGCGCGCTCTGGGACCGCCCGCAGCAGAGCGCAGTGGCCCGGCGCGGCCCAGGCGGCCCAGCCCTCGGGCCTCTCCACCTCTCCGAAGCCCTGCGGGTCGAGCCAGCGCCCCCGCCCGCTCGCCCGGCCCGGGTCTCACCGCCTCCCCCCTTGCCGCTGTCTCCCGCAGCTGGACGCCAAGAAGAGCCCTTTGGCGCTGCTGGCCCAGACCTGCTCACAGATCGGCAAGCCGGACCCGCCGCCCTCGTCCAAGCTCAACTCGGTGGCGGCGGCCAACGGGCTGGGAGCCGAGAAGGACCCCGGCCGCTCCGCCCCGGGCGCCGCCTCCGCGTCCGCAGCCCTCAAGCAGCTGGGGGACTCCCCGGCGGAGGACAAGTCCAGCTTCAAGCCCTACTCCAAGGGCGCCGGGGGCGCCGACTCCCGCAAGGACAGCGGCTCCTCCTCCGTGTCCTCCACCTCCTCCTCGTCCTCCGCGTCCCCGGGAGACAAGGCGGGCTTCAGGGTCCCCAGCGCCTCCTGCCCGCCCTTCCCCCCGCATGGAGCGCCGGTCTCTGCGTCGTCGTCCTCGTCGTCGCCTGGCGGCTCCCGTGGCGGCTCCCCGCACCACTCTGACTGCAAGAACGCGGGAGCAGGTGGCGGGGAGCTGGGCAAGCAAGACCAGTAGCCCAAGACCCGCCCGGAACCGGCACAC